TTGTGTGTTCTAGTGCTTTCGTAGTTTTAGTTGTATTTTACAGGAAATTGCACTCTTGGAGAATTTTCTCGGGTTTTCATGGAGCGACTACGGAAATTAGAGGAGCTCGACCATCTTTGAAGCCCATGGCCGGTTAGAGTCATCAAGCCGGTGATTAAGGGCTCGGTAATCGGGATACCGAGGTATATGTACCGAGTGATCAAGACCCTAAGTGGATATCCAGATTGGGCTGAAGAAATAAGCCCAATCGAAGTTCCAAGCCTCGAGGTGAAGCAAGGGCCCGATCGGGCAAGCTTAGCTCGATCGGGCAAGGCGCGCAAGAGTGTGCTGGTGCGAAGCCAAAGGCGCGCCCGATCGGGTGAGCTACTAGCTCGATCGGGTGCGGCTGTTGAGAAGAGCAATGCGAGAAAAAGGCGCGCCCGATCGGGCGGCCTCTAGCCCGATCGGGCGCGTGTTTCTGGAAGAGCTCTTTTGTCGAGCAATTAGTTTCTAATTAGGAAGTTGTTTAGAGTTTTGTTTAAGTACGTTTTAGGATGATTAATTTCACTTATCTTTTTTCTTAGACTTTCTCTCTCTACTTAGGATTTTTCTCTCTCTTAATTCTTCTCTCAACTCTTGTTCTTGATTATTTCCATTAATACAGATTAGTTTGGTAACGATTTCTCTTCTCTTAATCTTAGTTATTTACTTTATTCCTTTTATCATGTCTTGCTTTATTGCTTTGATTAGTTTAATTTCTACTATGTGTGAGTAGTTTACATTCTAGGGTTTGTGGGGATCCATAAATATTATGAAGGGGTAATTTATTGTTGTTAATTATCAATGCTAGATTAATTTCCTATTGATTGAATTAATGCTCTGTGACTAGATTAGGCCTGATCTTTTATGCATGAGTTTGACAATATTGATTCGAGATTCGACAGATGAGAATTAATGTTTAGGTCTAGTTTCAATAGGCAGGTTAATTTATAAATGGTTAATTCGAGATTCGAAAGATGAGATTTAATACCGGTAAATTAATTGTGTGATTATAATAAGTAGCGAAAGCCCTTTATAATCTGATTGATGTATGCATTGATGAATGGTTATTATATTCTACCCTAAAATATAATTTATTGGTGAACCTATGCCCTAGATCCTTTTATATATTGTTTTCTCCCTATTCTCAATCTTAGTAGTTTAGTTTCTTATTCAAATATAAATATTGGTTACTTCATAATCTAGATTATTCTAATTAATTAGGAATAGAAATATCCGTTTCTCTGTGGATTCGACCCTACTTCCCTATCTACATTAGTTAGAGGATTTAGGTAATACTTTTGATTCGGGGATACGACTTTACCCTGTCATACTCTCATGGTTAAGAATGTGTACCAATAATCCGACTTTATAGTTTATAGTGTATTGTTTGAGTTATGCACGTGCGAAATTACTTGAAAAACCATTATGTTGGTATGTCAATATTATGTTATTAACAATATATATTATTAAAAATATATATTATTATCATTCTCATTGATTTAAAACTATGTATGTAGTCATTTGTTACATTTTGAAGCCCAATTTTACATTTTGGTAGAATCGTACGATTCTACGATTCGATTTTACCGATTTGATTCTACCCCACTCACCAATTCAAAGAAGAATCCCGATTATGATAACATTGGTTGGGATGATTGTTGAGTTTGTTATTGCTGGAATGTTTGTAGCCGTACAAAATATTGGGTGCGGCAAGCTGCACCCAATACCTTCTCTTTATGTTTTCTTAATTTTGGGAACAAATGGAACTTCCTTTTTACAAGTTGATTTTGCAAAATCATTGTGATTAATTATATATCAATTAATTAACATATTCTTCTCATACATTAAGTGCAAGGTTTCAAATCTCGTCGACAGAAAACTTTTTATGTTTTTTTTCCCTCTCTCATCTCTCCTCCTTCCTCTCTCCTAAACCCTAGCCTTCATTGTTATTTTTTAAAGGATCTTCTATCGGTTTTATAGGTGAAGAGCCCCATTCCTTGTATCTTTTAAAGTTTTTTTTTAGGTTTATAATATTGCTTCCTCCTTTTGGGAAGAACTTTTCTCCCTCGAAAGAAAGGATTTCCGATCTCCTTTGAAAGACAAGAGTTTTTCAACCTCCTTCGAAAGACAAGGTTTATCTCCTCTTTTTTGAGAGAATTTTCTTAGGTTTGAATCTATGATATTAAATCTAATGGATTTTCGTGAAATTATTTTGATGGTGAAAATCCATGCGAGATCACAAGGGTTATCAAGCTTTCCAATACCTTTAGATGAATCAGAACGAAAAACTTCCCACGACTACAAAGAATCATAAGATTGTCTCTCCAACAAGCTAAGGCGGTATAAAACCGGTACCAGCGATATAAGCGGGAGATGTTCCACATTGCAAGATCTAATTGACAATTATAGTTTTTATGAAGGAAATTTTTATTTGGTTCAATTTCTTGTGTATTTGTTAACGTCGAATCTCCTTTTTAGATGTCGCATGGATTTTTATAATTAATATATATTAATGTTGTTATTGTTTCATTTTTTATTTATAAAATAAAAAAATATTGTATAAATAACCAAAAATTAGAGTTCATGTGACTTTTTTTTTCACTTTATACTCATACATTAGTCATCCGCTTCACCCGTTTTATCCGCGATTGATGGACGGACAGATATGGATGATGGGTGAAGCAGATGACGGATGGATGTGGATGGGGCGATTAGAATATTAGATGGATGCGGGTGAAGCTCTACCCGATCCAAATCTAATAGATTGTCATCTCTAATTGCAAGAGGCCTAAAATGGGAGTCATTTTGCCACCCAAACAAGCGTGATTATGTAAATCAGTAAATATATTTATGATTTTTATTTTTAAACATCTAGAATTTCTTTTTTACATGTTGATTTGCAAAATCATTGTGATTGATTACTTATCTGCATGATTTGATTTTTAATTATTTTGAAAACTAAATTATTTCATTTAATTTGATAATCATCACATTCCAATCAACCATATTGTAAGAGACCCAAAATGTGATTATTTTGGCACCAAAACAATTGTGATTATGTAAATCATTAAATATATTTATGCTTTATAATTTTGGGAACATCTAACATATCCCTTTTACATGGCGATTTTCAAAATCATTGTGATTGATTACATATCTATATGCTTTGATTTCAATTTTGAGAACTAAATTATTTCATTAAATTTCATAATCATATTTTAGTCAACCATATTGTAAGAGACCCAAAATAGCATAATTTAGACACCAAGACAATTGTGATTATTATTTACTAAATATTTAAAATTTTCTAATTTTGGCGACATCTAGAGTATCCCTTTTACATGTTGATTTGCAAAATCATTATGATTAATTACATATCTGTTTGCCTTTGATTTTTTATTTTTGAAACAAATTACCTCATTTGATAACATATTTCTGTTATATATTAGCAGTAAGTTTTAACAATTATTTTCACATCACAATAAATTAACTCATCTTATTATAAGAAGAAGAAAAAAAAACCTTAGCTTCTTAAGAATGGCAGGAAAGATTTCTATTGTTCCAATCCTTCTTATACTATTGTTTTGTTGCATGGCCCCTGGTGAGTACAAATCTTATTTTTGAGATATATATGTTTCCCCCACCAAGAATAACCCCCAACCTCCCTAAAATAACCTTCCCTCCCTCCTAAAACTCCCACCTATCTTGATACCCACCCCAAATTTACCCACCCACCCACCCATAAAAAACCCCAGTAAAAAACCGGCTGACCTAACCCCCCCTCTCCAACAAATCAACCCTAACATTGACACCCTCCCCATTATAGCTATAAATAAAAATCTTTACTCACCCTACTCAATTCTCCTCCGATCCTTCTCTTCTAATTGCCTTCCTTTTGTTGCTTGTTGTAGACATTGATGCTTATGAATTTGTTTGATTTTTTTTTTTTTAATTTTAATTTTAAGGTGTTGGTAAGATGAAGGAGGGGTGCATTTGTGGATGATTGTAGGAGAAAGGGGTAGGGTGGTATTTTCGAGTGGTTGGGGGTGAAATTACGGGGGTGGGGTAGATGTTTTAGGATGGTGACGGTGGGAGTACGGTGGTAGTGAGATGGTAATTAAGGTGACATGAAAGGGTTGTGAGTGGATGTGAGAGATTTTGAAAAAAAAGTCTTGCCTAGCTATTTTACGAGGATTAAGGTAAAAGGTTGCGGAGTAGATTATTTTGGATTACATAAAAGCGAGATAAAAAAGAGAATTGTGAAAGATGATATTATTAGTTTTAATTTTTTTCTCCTTTAGAAATAGTCTTCCATCATCCCAAATGATTTTGCTACAAACACACACACATATATATATATATATATATATATATAGGGGAGGGATCCGGTAAGAACCCCTAGATATATAAGAACCCTAGATATATAAGAATCCATCTCAACCGTAGGATCAAGTTGTTTTAGACGGTTAAGATTAAAACACGTGTCCAACTTTTTCAACCCCCTTACCCACCTCCCAACCTTTTCTCTCTCCTCTAACTTTCTTTCCCTTCTTCCCGATTCTCTCATTTTCTCTCTCCTAAAACCCCCAAGAATCTGATAGAAGTTGCAATTTGAAGGATTTTCGCTTCAGGTATGTTTTTCTTTTCGATTTTGTTCAAATTTTCATGAAATTAGCATGATGTTCAAGTGAATTTGCAGTTTTAATTGGTGATTTTTTGCAATTTTTAGGGTTCGGATTTAGGGTTCTATTTTTGCGATTTTTAGGAGTCGATTTTTGCGTATTATTTTGTGCGATTTTTGAGTTGGATTTTTCGTATGGAGTTTGATTATTTTGAGTTCGAGTTTAGCAAATTTAGGGTTCGAATCTTTGCGAATTATTTTGTTCGATTATTGCGAATTATTTTGTTTGATTTTTGCGAATGATTTTTGTTCGATTTTTGTTCATTATTTCGATCAATTTTTGTTCATTATTTTGTTCGATTTTTGTTCATTATTTTGTTCGACTTTTGTGAATTATTTTTGTTTGATTTTTGTGAAATATTTATGTTCGAAAAATTTGATCTGTCAATTATTTTTTTTTTGTTCGAATTAGTTCGATTTTTGCAAATTAATGTCAATTTTTGAATTTTTTTTTGAGTATGTGTATTCCAACAATAGATCTGTTGCTGCTATGGCTATTACTACAGCCTCTTCTACTCTGCCTACTGCCCCTCCTATCTTCTTCAAGGTTAATTTATATATATTTTGTAGTTGAAGGCATTTGGTGAATTTTATGAAGAAATTGATAACAAGAGTGTCGTTTTGTCCACTTTCGAAACAAGAAACATTGAGATGAAATGGAAGAGCAATGCAAACAAACATGATTGTGGAGTATTTTTGTTGAAGCACATGGAAACCTATGAAGGACAATGTCAAAAACAATGAAATTCGGGGCTAGAGAAGGGTAATGTACGTGTCAAGACATATGATTGATTAGGTTCTAATTACATCTCCATATTCTGATTATGTTCTAAAGTAATTCTGATTATGTTCTAAGTTAAATGTCTATGTTCTAAAGTAAATCTGATTATGTTCTAAAGTAATTATGATTATGTTCTAAGTTTAATGTCTATGTTCTAAAGTTAATCTGATTATGTTCTAAATTACTTGATTATGTTCTAAAGTAATTCTGATTATGTTATGAGTTAGATGTCTATGGTCTAAAGTTAATCTGATTATGTTCTAAAGTAATTATGATTATGTTCTAAGTTTAATGTCTATGTTCTAAAGTTAATCTGATTATGTTCTAAATTACTTGATTATGTTCTAAAGCAATTCTGATTATGTTATAAGTTAGATGTCTATGTTCTAAAGTTAATCTGATTATGTTCTAAAGTAATTATGATTATGTTCTAAGTTTAATGTCTATGTTCTAAAGTTAATCTGATTATGTTCTAAATTACTTGATAATGTTCTAAAGTAATTCTGATTATGTTCTAAGTTAGATAGATTATGTTCTAAAACAAATCTGATTATGTTCTAAAGTAATTATGATTATGTTCTAAGTTTAATGTCTATGTTCTAAAGTTAATCTGATTATGTTCTAAATTACTTGATTATGTTCTAAAGTAATTCTGATTATGTTGTAAGTTAGATGTCTATGTTCTAAAGTTAATCTGATTATGTTCTAAATTACATGGGAATGTTCTAAAGTATTTTTTATTATATTCTGAATTACATGTGTATTTTAATTTTAACGTGTTTGTATTTTTTTTGTTTGCAGTTTGAGCAAATGAAAAGGTTATGAGTGGAGTATTGTGGGAAGATTATAACATCAGAAGTAAATGAAGAACGGAAAAGAGTGATGAAGATGGCTAGAAAGTGGTCAAAGCTGAACAAAAATTGATATATGATTGTGTAAATCTTAAGTTTATATCTTTAGACATATATTTAAAACAATATATAGTACATTTTTTGTACAAATATGGAGATGACTATTTTGAACATGGGTATCATTTGGAATATTAATATCATTTGAAACATTAACCTGATTTGAAACATTATTTTTATAATGTTCTAAAGTATTTCTGATTTGGAATAAGCTTAAGTTTTTCTTTCGTACAATGAAGAAGGAAGAGGAAAGGAATGAGGTCACACTAAAGACACCAACTCCTCCAAAAACGACACAAAGATATTTCTACTCTAAGCTTCAATTAGTTGTCGCTCTCACCAAGTTTTTTTTGATATATATATATAAATACATTATACTACCTCCGGTCTACTTTAGTTGCAACTATTTCCTTTTTGGGCTGGTCCACATTACTTGCAACTTTCCCATTTCTTTCCTTTTTTAGTAACTTTTTAGTGATAAAATTACCATTTTACCCTTACTTTTTTTTTAAACACCCTAATTACAAAACTGATGGGTTTCAAATCGGTGGGTTTCGGGGTTGGTGTTTTGGTTTTGGTGGTTCTGATGTGTTGGGTTGGTGGTTTCGGTGTTGGTGGGTTTGGGGGTCGTTGGGTTTCTGGGGTTAGTGGGTTTCTGGTGGTCGTGGCCGGTGGAATCGGTGGGTTGGGGGTAGTTGGGTTTCTGGGGTTGGTGGGTTTCTGGTGGTCGTGGCTGGTGGAATTGGTGGGTTGGGGGTGTTGATTTAAGTTCGAATCCTACATAGGCAATATTTATAAATAACTATATAAGAAAAACTTTAGAAAATAGGTAGTAAAAGTTTAGAACATAAAAAAAAAAAAAAAAAAAACTTTAGAACATAAGTAGACTGAATTTAGAACATAGGCAAAAGAATTTTGAACATAGGAAAGAATATTTTAAACATAGGAAATAAAAACCGTTAGAACATAGGTAGAAAAAATTTAGAATATAGGAAAAAATTAGAACATAGGTTGAAAAAATTTAGAACACAGGAAAAAAAAACTTTAGAACATAAGTAGACTAAATTTAGAACATAGAAAAAAAAAAAAATTTGAACATAGATAAAAGAATATTTAGAATATAGGTAAAAGAATATTTAGAACGTAAACAAAAAAAAAGAAAAAAAAAAAGAAACTTTAGAACATAGGTAGTAAAAATTTAGAACTTAGGAAAAAAAAACATTAGAACATAAGTAGACTGAATTTAGATCATAGGCAAAAGAATTTAGAACATAGGTAAAAGAATATTTAGAACATAAGAAGAAGAAAAAAAACTTTAGAACATAGGTTGGAAAAATTTAGAACATAGGAAGAAAAAAAAAAAAAAAAAAAACTTTAGTATATAAGTAGACTAAATTTGGAACATAGAAAAAAAAAATTAAAAAATAGGTAGACTAGATTTAGAACATAAGAGTAGGCAAAAAAATTTAAAACATAAAAAAAGAATTACAGAAATGCCATTACTAAAGGATGGTTTTAGATGGTTGGATCAAAACTAATAAATGGTTGAGATTGGTTCTTATATAAGATTGAGTTCTTATATAGAGGAGGGTTCTTACATGAGCCTTCCTCTATATATATATATATATATATATATATATATATATATATATAGGATTAGGATCATGTAAAAACAAGTCTTAGGGTGAAAACATGAAAACAATTAATCCCAGCCGTAGATTATAATCTAACGGATGATATTTAATGTATATATATCCTAATTTTCTCTCTCCTCCCGCGAAAACACTTTCTCTTTCCTCTGTTATTTTCTTCCTCCTCTTCCTTCTCTCTTCACTTTCTCTCTCCTAATTTCTCGACATTAGCGAACTCCTTCAGCAACATCGCTTCAATTACCATCAGCGAACTCCTTCAGCAACACCGCTTCAATTACTTTGATTTTTAGCAATTTCTCAGCTCTACGATCTATTATCAGGTGAGTTCTTTGTGGTAATTTCGCTATTTTTGCACGATTTGAGGTTATTAGGTTTCTGAAATTTTGTTTGCTGGAATTTCATGAGTACTTTTTTGTAGATTCAACCGAAAATTTAATGTCTATTATGTTTTCGTGTATGATTTTTGTTTAATTTTGTAATTTTGCATGTTTTTTTATTTTATTTTTTCGATTTGATTTTATTTTTTGAATTTCAACTTAAGTTTCGTTTTAGTAGAAGTATTTTTTAAATGTATTTTGTTTAATTTTTCTTAATTTAAGTAAACTAGGTTTTTATGTGTATTTTTGCTCGAAATTCTGCTTTTGTTGTTCTTCTTCATCTTCTTAGTAACACGATTTTTGTTGAGCATAATTTTGTTTTTGTTGATTTCGAGTTTAGCTGATTTTTGTGGATTTTGATTTCGAATTAATGCCTGTTAGGAATGCGAATAACTAAAATGCGAATTGTGTGTGTGTGTTTGTGTTTGGAGTAGTTAATTTGAATTTTGAGTAATTTGAAGTGTTTTTAGTGGATTTGTGAGTGAATTCGGGAGAGTTTGGAGTAGTTAATTCGAATTTTGAGTAATTTGAAGTGTTTTTAGTGGATTTGTGAGTGAATTCGGGAGAGTTTGGAGTAGTTAATTCGAATTTTGAGTAATTTGAAATGTTTTTAGTGGATTTGTGAGTGAATTAGTGAGAGTTTGGAGTAGTTAATTCGAATTTTGAGTAATTTGAAGTGTTTTTAGTGGATTTGTGAGTGAATTAGTGAGAGTTTGGAGACATAAATTAGCTACACTGGTTCCTGCTTCCACTTGGTGTCCAACTCGATTTGTATTTTCCCGTGTTCCGTTTGGTGTAGGCAACAGGAATGGTCATCAATCTCTTGCTAATGATGATCTGGAATTGAGACCTGACCAACATGGTGACATGTTTGGAGATGGACTAACTGCCTTGGTTGCATTGGTGTTCCTTGATGCTGTTGTGTTTCTCTCTTACAACCTGTCTTTTCTTATTTGTGATTTGAAGTGGTTTCAGCTGCATCAAATGTCATTAGGTTCCTACATGAATTATTTGCCTTTTGCACTTAGATAAATTTTCTGGTGTTTGTGATATTGATGCAAAGACTCTTTCCACATCAACCGTAGAAAGAAAGAAAGAAAGAAAGAACATAAAGTATGAAGAATGCTTCCTGGTTTAAGATACTGACTTTGATTCTATATGTCCGATTTTTGGTGTTGAGAGCAGATTGCTTAAGCGACTAACCCAGGAACAAACATCTGGGGTGGATTTGTGATAGATTGCTTCTGATCATGCTAAATCGACATCTACATGACTTTCTTGACTGTTGAAAAGTGTACTTCTAGTCTGACATATGTGCATGGTTAATTTGACTCTGTACTGGATTTTGCTTCAAAATTTCTGAATTAGGCCTGTTTTGAACTTGAATCAAGGTAGCCAGAATTCGAGGATTTGGATACCTTAGTTTGATTTGATTTTCACTGCCCTGACCTGACTTGAATTGATTTTTTTATTCGTAAACAAATTGGTTGTCAAAAGACATAAATATGAATATGACCTGAACTTGTTCTAAACCAAACCAAAATAAACTGAATCTTTTTGGAGGGGTGTTGGACTATGTTATTTTTGAAGTTTTGTTTTAAAAAAAGGTCACTATGCCATAAAAAGAGGCAACTACTTTGGTTTCTTTTGTTTATCTTTTTGTATGTCTTGTTACAGGGTGCAACAAGGATTTTCATTCGATTTGGATTAGATTTTATAACTATGGTGAGAACTAGAGGTGGTGCTACTTTTAAAAAAAGGAGAGGCCTTCGTAGCTCAACAGGAGGAGTTAAATTGAAAGATACAGGAGGTATGATGAATGTTTGATTTTTGGATTATTAACCTTAATATACTAGTTGCTCTATTATGATAGTCTCCTAATACTATAGAATGTAGGTCCCTATATTAATATAAAAGTTACTATATTATTAGTTCTCTATGTAACTGAAAAAGGTCACTATATCAATGACAATGATTATTATTTTTAAGTTATTAGTTTGCTATATTATAATTGTTTGCTAGATTAAAATGAAGATAATTGTATATATAACTATATGCTTGCGTGTTTTTAGCATGTATCAATCTCGATCATGAAGATGAAGAGCATATTGATGATGGAAGCAAAATGATCGATGATGATACTAACAGAGATAAAGATGCTTGTATTGAAAAAGGATTGAAAAAGAAAGCTATCACTAAGAAAAAGAAACCTTCTAACATTGAGAATGCTATACCTTTGTCAACTGTGATGGAAGGAAAGAAGGGGAATAAGTCTTCTTCTTCACATGCTATTGTTTTGCCAGCTAAGAAGAGAAAGTTGGATGAAAATGAAGGTCTTAAAGTGAAGAAAGTGAAGGCAAATAAGGATAAGAACATTGTGATTCATAGGCAAGAATCTGCAATCATAGATAGTGATGTACATATGTAAGTGAATATTTGTTTCTTTTTTTTGAAGTTTTGTTTAAAAAAAAGGTCACTATGCTATAAAAAGAGGCTACTATTTTGGTTTCTTTTGTTTATCTTTTCGTATGTCTTGTTACAGGGTGCAACGAGGATTTAAAACACGTTGCAGGCCATTTCATTTAGTAGAGATGATTAAAACTTTTTCAGATGATCAAATCAAGGCTGTTAAAGAAATTGGCTTTGGAGGTTTGTTATCTTTGAAGGTGAAACGAACTGCAACTGATATGCTATCATGGTTGGTAGATTGTTTTGATCATGGTAGCTGCATGTTTACTATTGATGGTAAAAAAGATTTTGTTGTGACTGAATTTGATGTGTATGATGTTTTTTGCCTTCCTTGCAAAACATCTAAGAAAGTTGAAGAAATTTCTCGTTGTGCTAATGTCATCAACCCTGATTATGATTTAAAGGTTAAATGGAGGTCTCATTTTGGTCTTATGGGTGAGAATGATCAGATTCCTTTGGGTTTTTTGGAATCTAAGATCCCTTTACTAGTAGATGGTGGGGAAGAATTCAGACAGCTTTTTATCATGCATGCTTTTTCAAGTTTTTTAGCACCTACGTCCAACAGAACTGTGGATTTGAGAATTGTAAAATGTTTGGTTGATGTTAATCAAATAAGAATTTATAATTGGTCAAAATATGTCTTAGATAGACTTTGTGAAGCTGTGAAGAGCTACAAAGAAGGAAATATAGAATGGTTTTGTGGTTGTGTTTTGATGTTAGAGATTATCTATTTTCATCGATTGAGGTTTAGGAATGTT